GTCTATGTACAGCCTAGAAATTTCAAATTCAGCTAGCGCATTAGTACTAATTCAGCTTTAATGCACGTCTAGAATTCACTTGAACGCAGACGAAACTTAAACTGGGATAACTATTAGGATCCTAATAACTTGAAATTCGGGCAAAGCAGGAAGTTGTATCTTTTATGAGAATTTTTGCTGTCCGTACGCACACCCACAAACATGAAAGGAGTTCTCGCGTACACGTATGTTTTCTCTCAAATATTCATTCTGTGAAATCTCTGCATGAGAAATCAGGCAAGTTAATAAACTATAATTCTGCGAGGCTCGCAATGAAACACTATGACTTAGATGATGGTTCTTCCTCTAGAAAAAAGAACAAAAGATTAATAAGATCATTTCCAATATGAGTGCACATTTCAAACAGTGAAGCGGTGAGCTTTCTCACACTCAACAACATATGGATACATAAAATTGCTTAAAAATGAATGGTCTTGTCGTAAGCTCGGAAGAATGCAAACGATGCAAGCAATTTTGATCTTGAACAAAGTTTAGCTTCCAAGTAACTCTGCTTCTAGAAGCTCAATATTCAAAAACATTGGCTTCTCAGGCGTGTTTTGCTGACCATATACTTTTCCAGGAATGTAATTTTCAATCCTTATGCTTATTTTGGCCGTCCTGACATGTGGCCCCGCGGATATCCATTAACGCAGTTGCGAGTAAAATTCATTTCTGCTATTTTGTCTCTTTGAACTACACACTTAAGATAGTTCTTTACACTTTATACGCTGCGAAAAGCAATGCTGCCTGTTTTTAATCCCATTGTTGGCACTTTGAGCGGTAGGGGGTCCCCCTTTGCAAAAAAGAAGAAAGCAAAGTGGCGGATAAGATCGAAAGAAGAATCGAAGGAAGAAAGGAGTCGAAGAAAGAAATCGAAGGAAGAAAGAAAGAACCGAAGGAAGAATCGCTCCACAGATTCGAAATTTGCTGAAAAACATTTAGTCTCCCAAGGTTTATCCACAAAACAAGGTGACATTCAGATTTAAGAAGTAGCAGCTCAGTAACAAGCTAGTTTACTGCTTCCGGACCGAGTGTCATGAGGAGTAAAATGATAAATATGTGCTCCATAAACGGCTGCGATAAAAAATTTTTTCTCGGTATTTTTACCCTTTGAAGGATTCAGAAAAATAAGGCCTTATTTGGCAATGCTTCAGATCTCCAACCAAATGTACAGTCACAAGCTGTGCAAAGCAGTTCGCAGGCCTCTGGTGCAACAAGGCCTGGTGGCCAAGGATCCAGATGTCGACGCTATCTATCGATTGATCAACGCTGATCGAATCGATGGGCTCAATGTACAATTCGATCGCCATGCACCACCAATTTTTTTGAAACCAGGTAAATTTTACAGATTGAGCATAAAATACCAACATGGGGAAACAAGAACAGCAGTACGTTTTTATGATAAAAGCTGAACTTTTGTAGCCAATTTTTGTTAGTTTTTGCAACAGCTTGCAGTGAAATCTACGAATAAAAATTTTTCCCTTAGTTTTTTGACTCATTTTCAGATAGCAGAAATACGTAAAACAGATTTTAATTCACAGCCTAGTTCTCCTGCTATGCAGCTGACAACTTTTCCGGTTGTTCAGATTAATTCTTCACCTTCTGTTGGTCAGATTTGCTGATTTTTTTTTGTTTTCTGTGGAAATTACCAGACCGACGGTTCATCCCACAAAAACGCTGTGAATTTTACCTTCAGCATGTTGATAGTGGTTATCACATGTCTGAGAAACACAAAGATGCAGTTTTTTCCTCAGAGATCTAAATTCTTGAAAAGCAACGTGCCTTGCCCATCGGATTTTACTTTCTTGAATGACAACAATGATAAGTTGCCTGCTTTTCATTTTCACCGATTTCACAACAATTTTGGTAATTAAATGCTATTTAAGTTTTTACAAATCTAATCGAATTTAGGTGTATACAGTCCATTTAACAGC